AAATGACCAACAATACATTTTATAGTAGAAATATCTACAATACATTTTTAGTAAAATGACCAACAATACATTTTATAGTAGAAATACCTACAATACATTTTTTAGTAAAATGACCAACAATACATTTTATAGTAGAAATACCTACAATACATTTTTTAGTAAAATGACCAACAATACATTTTATAGTAGAAATACCTACAATACTTTTTTTAGTAAAATGACCAACAATACATTTTATAGCAAAGTGAGCAACAATACATTTTATCGGAAACTGACCAATAATACATTTTTCTATAGTTGAAGGCATACAAATACGTTCAAAAAATTGTAATGAAAATTCGGAGTCTAGTCCGGCTTAATATGTCGAGATTGAACGTAACTGAAGAATGGTGCCATTTTGGCTTAGACGGTGTCATTTATTTTTACAAATCATAAGTCAGGGGAGGTAATCGTGTTTTCTTACCACACACCTGTTTGGGTTGCAGCTATGGGCATTTAATTAAACCCGGAAATAAAATAAGTCAAAATGACAGCATAAAAATATATTTTATAGTCAAATTACCAGCAATATTTTTTATATTGCAAAATGACCAGCATTTTAATTTTATAGAATTACCAACAATACATTTTATACCAAAATTGCAAAAAATATTTCACATGTAGTTGAATACATACAATTACGTTTAAAATATATTTAGTTGAAGTCATAAAATTATATTCAAAATATTTAAATTTCGGCATTAAATAACCCTTAGAGGTTGATATGCCGCTAAACAAATTCAACCAATCAAAACTTATTTTAATTTTCAAAATTTCATCTAGCATTTATTATACACGCATCGTAAAAAAACAGTTATTTTTATTTAAATTTGTTGTCAATTCTCGAGAAAAAAAAGTTTTCTTATAGCTGATAGTTAGCCCTTTCTTCTCGCTTTCCTTTACTACTTAGCTTGAGCTTTTCCTTCTGAGTTTTCCATCAACACAGTGTTATCTGCGTAACTTATATTGTTAAGATTATGCCTGCCGACAATAAATCCTGTTAGGACTTCTAGTTCTTTTACTATCGTCTCGCTGTTTAAGTTTGTAACAGAAAAACACAATTAATGCTGAGATGACAAATTAAATGCAAATTTATAAAATCATTAGAAAACATATATATCTAAGTACACACCAATTTTCGCCATGCTAAGTCACACACATTGTACAGTTACGTTTAAAATATATTTAGTTGAATCCATAAAGTTGTCTTCTGAATACTTAGATTTCGGCATTAAATAACCCATAGAGGTGTTGATATGCCGCTAAAGAAAATGAAATAAAAGCTTAACTTTGTTTTGTTTTCAAATTCAAACAGAACTCATATTCGTGCCATTGCTTAAGATGCTGGGAAAATGGCCCGTTCTTCGTATCGCTTCCAAAAATACCCAACGCCGGCTGCCGTGCTTTTTCTTTACAAGAGTCAGATGAGGCCGGTAAAGATTTATTGATAGTATATCTAGGCTGTTGCTTCCCAGGTCTCACTGTCCAACCTCGACACAGTTCAAAAGCGACTTCCCTGCCTTGTGGGTGATTAATTATTCTCCAATCTGTAACACTTATAACACAGTCTCTCCAATGTTCAAGCGAGTTCCGCTCCTTCTTCCCGACCTTCACAAAGAGGATTCTCTGTGCCATGTTCACGGTTGTAAATCCTCACCCTTCGCTTCGTGTTCCTATGAAAAGGAGTAAATTCCACTCAGCTAAATTCTTCTCTTTTTAGAACTGACTCCCGAGAGAATGCTTCCCTGACTGCTACTATCTTAACCTCTTCAAGTCCTGCGTCAAACGATATATATCCTACATATCCTCATAATATACATTTCTTACCACCTACATTCTCCTAAGAACAATCTCAGAGTAACTGTTGTAAAGGAATGACCCACACTCCCTATTGCCTATGTAGCCTCAGTATATCAGTAGCTATATATAGTGAGCACAGGATATACCTGGGGGCGTGTGCCTCGGCAATTACCTGGAGATTTGTCTCCAGCTGTGCTGGTCGAACTCATTATGTGTCCAAGTAATATAAGCTATTTTACTGATTTTCAGTGTAAGTTTTCCTTATGATAGCAAACAATACATGTTGTCATGTGTCCTTGAGGACATCTGTGTATGAATTTATGGGTAAGGACACATGGCACAGTCGATAAAGGCGTTAGTTAGATCCAGTGACAGGAGCCAAAGAGTTCTGAGTTCAATACCTGGTTAAGGCGGTGGAGAACTTGGAGAGGGGAATTAACAGGAGATAACTGATAACTGACATCCATTAAACATGGCACGTGGAACTAGAACACTCTATCCCAATGAGCGAAATAAACGGTTCAGTTCAACAATCCAACCACCTGAAGAAGGCCGGAACGTACAACGGCCGAAACGTTGTAATAAATATGGCGATAAAGATGAGGACAATAGTCCGAATAATGTAAATAGTTTAACAGATGGCTAAAAAAAAAAAAAAAAA